CCGTGGTCCGGTCCGTGATCCGATCCGTGATCCGGTCCGTGGTCCGGTCCGTGATCCGATCCGTGATCCGATCCGTGATCCGGTCCGATCTGGTCCGATCCGGTCCAATCCGGTCCGGTCCGATCCAATCCTGGTTTTGTCGACGCTGGTTAAAATGTTAATGTACTGAAAATTTTATGAATATTTTACTCTTTATTTTAATTTAGTACAAAATACATTGCCTTTTTGTGTTATTGAAGCGCTTGACTCTAAGCAAGTATTGAATACATAAAAAGCAATTACATCATTCATGGAATGTGTCGACATTGCAACTTTCTCTTGGGCAGCGTGTTGAATAAGATTGTGCTTGTTTTGTACTTTCATTTCGTCAGGAGTGACAGTGATTGTTCTAACTGTAATTTTTCGAGTATTTTTCATATTTTTAGACATGAGAAGTGAATTGTTGTGCTGCTATATTGAAGCGAGTTCAGAGATCAGAAGAAAAATAAAATATTTGCAAGCCAAGCAAAGAACACGTCAGAGCATGCAAGGATTACATCATTGGTAGGCAAATAACCACCGTACTAAAGATAGCCGTGGATTTTGTAATTCTTGAATTATGTGACTCGTGTGACTACTCATAGAAAAAATTAATTAAATTTAAATTAAATTTAATCGTGACTTTTAAGACAGAAAGCTGTTGTTAATAGTGTTATTATCACATCATTTGCATTGCTCATGCCCATACATATTTCGAAGAAAGTTCCAGATTAAGACGATTACGTCATCGGAGATTTCACAACGGCTATTACTAATGGTGCGATTGGAAATTTCACAATAGCTACAAGTGATGGTGCAATAAGAGGCTTAAACAGTTCGTGTGTAATCGTTGTCATCAGTTGTGCTACAGATTGATCGGGTTATTTTAGATTTCTCAAAGGCTAAGAGCAATGGTGCAATAATACAGTTTGTGTTGATCAAGTGGTGTGGTGTCTACAGTAATAAATGAATCATCAAGGACTTTGCTTTGGAATGTGCACTGCGTTGCGACTGTAGTGCTAAGGAAACAGCTAAATTTTAAATGCGCAGTTATAAGATCTTACAGATCTTGTTAACCGCGCGGCCATGGGCCGAGCGCGGTTCTAGGTTTACCCGTGGTTTATTAA